AAAAATAATCTAATGGACGATGAATAATTTTTAATATTTATTTTTTCCACACACAAAAAACTGAGAAAATATTCTAATGGAAGATGAGAAGAAAGACAGCAAGAGATGGAATGAAAAAAAAATCATTCGATACGATAAATTATTGCCATTTGATTATTTTCTGCTGCCTTCTTGTTTCTGCTGTTGTTCAAATAAACTCGCCGTCCATTCATCATTGATATTTATGGATTTATACATTTCAAATTGCTGTGCTGCATGTGTTTCTTATGTGAATATGATTAACATTCTTTTTTCTTCTTTTAATTTTCAATTTTAAATAAATTTTCGTCAAAAAAGAGGGGAATAGCTAGTTTGGATGGAGCTTGTGCTGTGTATGAAGACTGTCTGGTCCTTATTATCCTTATGTCAAAAAAAGCTCAGCCACACCGCTCTCATTTAATATGAACGGACATATTTCTGTCCAAATTACCAACAATAGAAATATTTCATAATGCATTATCAATTTCATCTTCGATTCGCTTAGGAACCTTATGTGGATTCCTTCATATTGCTTATTTAGCAAATAAACTCAGAACACTTAATGGGATTATTGTTATTAGATAACTTCATGAATCCTCTGAGTAACTTTTAATTAGTAAACATCCCTTCCTATTTTATTCATATATAGATGTTAAAGTAACTTTCTCTCTCCAATCACGAAAGTGGTAGCAACTCTATTTCAAAATTATTGTATGCATCATATATATATATATATATATATATATAAGTATATATATATATTTTTTTTTTTGTGAAATCTTATATCTTAGAATTGCCAATAAATAATAATAATAAATAATATTGTGGATCTTTATGGATAAGCAATTCTTACAGAATTCTAAAATCCAATTAAAATAAAAGAAGAATAAAAAATGCGCTTTAGCCACTTTCAACAACAAAATAATCCATAACTTCCTCTTAATTCTTCTATATTTCACACACAATCGTTAAATATGAATATGATTCTAAGCTGAATTTACCTTTTCAATAAAATTCAGAGCACAAAAGCAAAAAGTCGAATTTTTTATGCAAATAAGAAAAGTTTTCAAATTTTATTTATTTATTGAATAGCTTCCAATTACCATAAAATCTTTGTATTATGTCATGTGATCTCGGTTCTCAAGAGATAAAGGGTTATCGGCCAAAAAATTTCTTCTAATAAAAAATGCTTTAAATCTGTCAATTTACTAACAACAAAATATCAGTTAAATGGATAACAGTGGACAATTTACAACGTTAATTAAAGATACTTGGGAATATAGCACCGGTGGGAAGAACAGAGTGGAAAATGTCCTCGATTCAGTGCATCATCCAGAATATATGCCGACAATAAGATGAAAAAGAATAAGAAACCGAGAAAACGACAGAAAAATATGCGAACTAATTGATTTTTCTTGTTCATCTTTCTGGTTTTTTTGTTCTTATGCTTTCCTTGTGCTTCATTTGGATTCGACATTTCCTTTTGTCAGCGAGACATTACCGATAATTTTGTTAAATGTACGACAAGTATCAGAATTTTATCCATTATTAATTTCAGGACATACTGAACTCTTTTAATTTTACTTTATTTGATTAAATGATTGTCCATCAAGCGAGTCTTACATCAATCCATCACATAAACTATAGAAAAACACACATAGTCAGTTATCGATCCATAAATTCAAATATCCAAGCAGACGAAAAGTGTCAATCAGTCAATCAATCAATCAGAAAAATGTAGTAATGTGAAGGTAGGTTGTCAATCATTCATTTATTCAGTAACTATAGCATAGTCCATCAAACTGTGTGGGACGATAATGCAAAGGGAGAAAATAAGGAAGTAAAGGCATAATTCGATTTGTTTTTTTTTTTGCGTAATAAAATGTGTTTTGAGGTTCTTTTTTTGCATGTCGGTGTGGATTTATCATGAATATTTTTAAGGAACGTGGATGCAATGTTAAATCACTCGACTGCATCACTAATTAAATTCATTTTATTTTCATCACATCCTCATTTCATTTGAATCATCAAAAAGTCTGTTCTTATGCGCTAATTATTTTCAGCACTTCCTCGTCTTGTCACAAAATTCATTTCAACTTTTATCTATGCCAGTCTTGATTGTGTCTATTTTTTGATTGAATCCTTGAAAAGATTTCATTTTGCAGCTCTCTTGTTCTTTCCTCATTGTCGTCGTCAATTCACCCTCAATTTCTGTTCCACTCATTCCATCTTCTTTCCTTTCGGTTCTCTCTACTTTTAGTTCACTTCAGTTCTCATTGAGTTTAATCAGATTGACATGACACTGTCAAATTCATGTACACATCACATTGAATGAATTGTGAAAGGATAAAGAAGACACGAAAGGAACAGAAAAAGATGAGATGTGATTGGGGATGAAATTAAATGAATTGTGGAAGTGAATTTTTCATTCTGAATGTGTGTATGGATCAATTATAAAATATCATTCAAGTACTTATTCATATTTATGAAGCAGCACAGACAATTGTGACAGATAAATATTGTGGAATTATCACCAAAAAAGACATGAAATCTGACTTGTCTGAATTTTAATTTTCAAATCTTTTAATTTAATTCAAATGAATTTATTGAGGATGTTCAGACTTGGAAGCAAAGTTTAGTAGCTGCAAAAAAAATAAAGGACATAAGAAAGAACTTTGACAGCTCCCCAGATGAATGAATTGAATTGACGTATTAGAAAACTATTCGAGAAACTCAATAATATGTGATGTGGCTGAGATGTGTCTGTGAATGGGTGATGGGATGAGTAAGGCGCAATGGGATGAGTTGAAACAAACATTGACAGACAGACAGATGGACACATTGGAAAAGAAGACACGAAAGAAAGCAAAAAACAATGAAGAAGATTGGAAAGGACATTTGAGATTGAATTGAGAGTCGATAGAAAATTTAATTATGTCTTTTTTTATTTGAGAGATGAGATAAAAAAAAATTATTTCTTCTACGACAAATGTGATAGACAGCAAAGAGATGGAAAAGTTCATCAAAAAAAAAAGGGATGGAGGGATTTTTTCATAAGAAAATTGAAAATATGAAAGGATGAGGATGACAAGTGTGGGTGGACATTTTCATCATTGTCATGCTTGTTTCTGCCTCATCTGAACTTTTTAAAATATCTTTTAAATGGCGAGGCTAGAAATGCATTTTTGCAATTGATGAAGATTGAAATTGTCAAGGAATTTTAACTCTAACTTCAATCAGTATCCATTCCACATTGTCACAAACTTGCAACTTTATTCCAAACTCATCCATATTTTAACCATGAATGCATGAAAAGTTCCAGCAAAGTGCATCCATATCGATTTTCTCTACGACTATTACTGTAATTTTTCTTCCCTTTTTTTGATGCTATATGTTTGAGACAGTTCCACTGTGATGAGCACATTGAATATGTTCGTGTTTGGATTGTCAATTGGAAGTCATGAGATATTTTTTGTGTCAATAATTAACACATTTAGATACACTCAGTGTCGTAGATAATTTTCTGAGAAAAACTGTCAAGTTTTGTGGACATCACATGACATTGGATAAGACTAATGAAGCATAAAGTTTCTTGCTGTAAAGTTCATCTACAAAAATGCACAAAAATAGAATATAAAGGATAATTAAAATCAAAAGCTGAAAGGCTTATGATGAAGGAAATAAAAGGCAGCAAAAGAAATGTCCTTTGATGGACATAGCCTGAATATGTTGACAAAGAGAAAAGAGATTGAATGGATGGAAATAAAACAAAAGGGTGATGTACCTAAGGCTAGATTTCTCTGTCTGATGTTAACTGGATGTTTCTTGACAGCTTTTTGCTAATAAAAGTGACAATCCCTTTTTACATATGAAAATGGCACTGCCAGTGGAACTGAGAAATTGCAAAATGTGACATTTTATTTTCATTAGATGAGGAACTAACTTTGAGTATGTAATTTTAGATTAATATGAGTTTTTTTTCATCACATAAATATGAGAGACAGTTCTTTACGACTTGCGATTATGATTGATTTCGTACGAGTGTGACACTCAGAGATATTTTGCTGTCGCCTTCTTTCTTGCTTTTCTTCAACTGCAGACGCGTAATGAGGTCACATTTTTCATTTCATCTCGATATAAATGAACGTATAAGATCCAATAATGCAAGCTCGGTCAGTCATCATTCAGCTTCAGCTTTGATATATTCGTTTTCGGTGTATGAATTGCTAGATCTAGCAAGCAAGCTACCAAGCAAGAGAATAGATGGACGACGATGAGGAATTGAATTAGTTTTTGTCCGATTGCATCTCAGTTCAATTTAGTTCCAACTCTCTCTCATGATGAGTTTTAATCAATGTCAAATGAATCGACAAGACAAATAAGGAACGAAATCAAGAAGAAACAGAAGAAAATAAGAGAAATGAGGTGAACTCGTCGTCATCATCATCTCTGTGTATGGATAAGAAGATTTATTTGGGATAAAAATGTCATCTTTGGAAATAAAATTGCAGCAATTTTTTGATTCTAAAATTAATGCACGAAAAATCATGTTGAAGTCACTGAATCGAAAAAAATTGCACAAATTTCATTTTTGGACATTCAATCATGATTTATCACTGAAATTTAGAGAATATGAAAAATATTTCAATTTATTTCAACTTTTTCAGAATCAACTAAGGACATGGAGGAAGGAATGAAATTCCCATTTGAGGACGAGAAATTTATTAGTTTTTGAAATTTTTGACATAAAGCAATGAAAATTGCAATTTCAATTGAAAATGAAGGCAGATGAGACAGGAAAAGTTTATGCTGCATTCAAGAATGACTACAATGACATCAATCGAACTGCTCAATAGAAATAAAGAAGATTTTTGTCGTTCATGTCATAGAAAAAGGACATCTCATGCATATCAATTGCATGTTTAATGTCTCATAGAAAGCAGGAAAAGTTTTGAGTTTTATGAAAATTAATTAAAACTTACCGTTTTCTTCTCGGTTGTTTATCCAACGATATGAGGGTCTCGGTTGCTGCTTCGATCGCATGATTGCTTCGAAATCAAATTTTCTATCTTCCTACTTCTGCTTCTGTGCCTTGCTTTCTTGCCACAATTATTTTCGACTTGTTTATCTGCAATCAAAAAGAAATTTTTTTATTTCCATTGAATGACAATTAAATTGTGACTTTAATTCATCCATCAATTATTATTGTTCATTATTATTTGTACTGCTGCTACTGATCCTTCAAGTCATTCATTCATTCTCACTCATTCAATATTGATTTAAATTAAATATGTATTCGTGAATATTAATATTAAGGGAAGAACACGGAATCGATAAATTGTGCATGATTTGAAATCATTAAATTCTTCATTGTGGAATCAACAAACAGAACAGCATTAAAAGTTGTGTCAAGAAATTAAATAAATCTACGGGAAGTGTAATTAAGTAGTGAAATTTATGACAATTCATGCAATTTAGTAGAAATTAAGTTGCAGCTCCTTAAAAAACCATTTCTTTATTTATTTTCATATTGATCGATCGACATGCCTTACTGTCTATATCGATTTTCATGTCAATTCCATCTTATTTTTTCCAATGGCCATCAGTCAATGTACAGTGTACACATATGACAACTTTATATTCCTGACTGATGTATGATATGATAAGATTATTATTAATCTATATATTTCTTTGCAGAATAATGTTTATATGTCATTGGAAGTTCCATTAAAATGCGCATCTTATTAAACAACATCGTCCGAAGCAATCAGTCATAAATTTGAGTGACATATGACATAAGCACATACACATCATATCAAATCATATATGATGAACATGGACATAATGAACAGAAATGGAATGAGAAAGAAACTTGACCGGTCTGCATACATCCACACACGATAATGTTTACTTTTGTCCTTCTTAATATAAAATTTATTACTAAATATCTGAATCTGACTTGTCTCTGCTCCTTGCTGTGTTTTTCCTCTCTATTTACTGTACAGAATGTCACTCAAATAGAATCTTCCTTTATATCCTTATGTTTAGTGCTTATTATCACTATTTTGTAGCTGAATATAGAGAGAATAAATCTTTATTTTGGCATACATGTCTAAACCTCTTTTGGGTATGAGGAGATGTGGATGAACTTTATTCACATTTTATTATAATCGTAGATGTGATTTTATTAGAAGAGGAAGTCAAGAAGGAATTAAAATCGTAGGGAGAGAAACTTTGACGACCAAACAAGTTTTGACAAGACATCAAGAACACATTTGGATATGACAAAGGATATTTATTGTATGAGTATGAGACATGAGACTATAAAAATTTTGCTTTGATGTTTCTACTTCTGTTTTTTGTTTCAGGTTCTTCTGTACTGCTTTGTTGCTTTACATATTTTGACTGTTTCTGATCAATAAACTTTGACTCTTTTTGAGGGACTAAGTTTAATTAATTTTATCTTCAAGCCAAAACTTTTCTTTTATTTAAAATCTTTTTGATCTCTTTTGATTTTCTTAATTTAAAAGTTTTTGGAATCGACTCAAAAAAAAGATTTTAAAGCTTAACGAAAAAAAAAACTAAGGATTGAAGTCGAAGAAAAAGAATAGCAACGGGTCGAGACGTACTGCTGAGATTGATTTATAGTTGACAGTTTCAGCACTGGAAACGTGATATTCCATTGGTTCGGTTTAAACTTTACTGCGATTTTAATCATTTGATAATTTTTTCTTCTTTCCTTTTGTATTTTGCTGTGGCAGCAATGTATCATTTTGCACTGCACTGCCTTTCGAATTTATGCATTTATGCCTCTTTTGTGTAAGGGCTCAGAATGAAAGGAACGGATAAAGCAGAAATGGGAAAATGTATGAGCCGAAGGTTCATGCAAGCTCAAAATAAAGATTTTCATGTGTGAAAGAAATCCGATGAATGATAATAAAAAATTGATTTTTGCGCTTTAATCATAAATTATGAATATCAGGTTCATTTTTCTTGATAATTGTGTTGGAAGCCTTTGTGGTATGTACAGTGGAATATGTTTTCAGACATGAATGTTAATTTATTGGAATCAAATTGATTTTAAAGCTCTGCATTGCAAATTATCCAAGAACATGTCAGTCAAGGTATCATAGCAGACCAAGGACATGCTTTGCTATCAAAACAAGCTTGTAGGGTTACATTCTCAACTCAAAATATCCATCCACACATCCATTGAATCACTATCGATGATTCACAACCAATTAAGAATGAATTTATTAGACAAAGATATATTGACACCAGATACTGATTGGTATAGCAATTTTCGATTTCTCGGAAAAGCTTAATAGACATTAATCAATCCTCTGAATCATCCGCCCAGCAAACCGCAACATTCAAAAGATGTTTCATAAACAAAATTGTTCCAACAAACTGAGCACATTCAACATTATCTTTTTTTTCCTTCTCTTTGTGTGTTTACACTTCATTCAATTTTAATACAAACTTTATGCTGCATATATATTCACACATTCAATTCAACTTGACACTTTCTGTCACACATATTTTCTCCAATTCTATTCTCTTCTTAAAAAAAAAAGTTTAAAAGGAAAATTTCTTTTGAGGTTTGTTCACTTGTGAATCACAAGTTGTGATGTGTGTCTAGTAATAGGAGGGCCGGCTTTGGAATTTTTTGGGGATTTCAGGAATTTTTGGAGAGGCAAAGCCTAACATAAATTTCTGAACAGACAAAGTTTTTTGACTATAAAAATCGAACCTTAGCTAATCTTGAGGAACCCTGAACCTACGCCTCTGAGTAATGAGATATTATTTTTTAAAGAACCTAACCTCGAATCGTCTTTTGATGCCTAGTTTCATATTAAAAATTATTATCATAGAAACAAGACTTAACATCTGTATGAATTAGATTTTGAGTAAACCTTTATGTGATTTCGAACCTTACCGTTAGCCCGAGTGGAACAATTGAATAGAAATCTGGCTCTAAACCGGCATGACCTTGGCATGGTGTTGGCTTCGATTTAACTGCAGCATCATGCCAGAGTAACACCAACTTAGTCCCGGATTTTTGATCGATTAACCGACTTGTGCCATTCGGGTAGGTTCCTAGCAAAATATGTTTTAATGAGGAGCCTCAAGCTTACACACTCCTCAGAGTTAAAAATTAATTTCCTGCATATTTATAACCACCTCACAATAAATTAGGGTTCACGACACAAAGAGGATTTTGATAACTGTATTTAAAATGTCAGAAAAGTCCTTAAAGAACCTAGCTTCACATTAATTTCTCATTGCTGCACTTGACCCATGAAGGTAGATATCCCTGACATCACAAACGAACAACCCCTTTCAACTATCGATGTGAAAAAAATTTATATTTTATGAACTTACTTCATCAAACAAAAAAATTTCTTTCGCTTTCTTCTTTTCTTCTTTTTCATTTGAATTAATTTTCTCATCTTTAGTGAAATATTCAACAAATGACAACACTACTGCTCTACACATGTCATCGTGTTCTCTTTTTTATTTACTTATTTTTTTTTTCATCTATTTTGTCACATCCTTATTCAATATAAAAAGAAAATTTCTTTATAATTTTCAAAAGTCTATAAAAAAAAGCTTCAATTTATTTCAATATTTCACTAATTATTATACTGTCTTTTGTATGTTGTTGAGTGCCTCACATCAGACGACAACAAGAAAATTTGAAATAAATTTTAATGTTTTGAATTTTATTAGACGAAGATTTATGGCTTCTGTTGCCGCTACTTATGTTGTCGTTTTACTCAATTGCCATCATCATCATCATCATCATCATATGGTAGTTATTCATACGAGTTTGTGTGAATGGAATTTTTTTTTCCAACTCCTCACGCTTAGCATTTGTTGTTGCGTAAATGCAAATGAGAACAAAATTTCATGTCATGTGCTTTATTTTTTTCGGGAGGGTTTACTTGTTCCACTACTTAAAATTGATGAATTGCTCTCGAGAAGTTCTTATACACAACAAAAAAAAAATATTTCAAGACGCACAGACAAACACTCTTAATTTAAAATCACAATAAATCATGTAGAGCAATAGCAACAAGCACTGTATTTATTTTGATATGTTAGAAGCCGGTATGCCTTCTCAAAAAAAATTTATTTAAAAAAAACCAGCACTAAAGGCAACGCGAATTTTTCCCGTTCTGCATAAAACAAACTGAACTCTATTTTCAATCCACAAGCACAGACATAGCACATGGTTCTGTGTGGATATTTGGAATATAATTTTTCCTTTATTTTGAACACAAATAAAATACAGCACTCGTGAGTGATGTCGTTCTGGCTTGGTCATAAAGTATTTTCTCATTCTCATTACTCAATATCGAGTTTCTCCATAAATTCTCGTTCTCTCGAGTAATTTTCAATCATTCTCTGTGTTCTGACTCTGTGTATAAGTTCTGTTGTGTTTGCTTTATGACTTCACTTCCCCACTTTTTACTCTCTCTCTCTCTCCTCTCTCGGTTATTTGAGCTCTTTTTTATGCAAAATGCTTTATTTATTGCTTTAAATTATTTCAAAAAATAACAGATTTTATGACAATATAATTGCGAAGATGTATTTTTAGTGTTTATACCTTAGTTATGTGTTAAGAATATGATAATAAAATATTTTTTATAAACTTTCATGATGATTGAGACATAAAAATATTAACACATTAGTTAGATGAAGAAGCAGAATGTTCTGGAAGAGTGAGAAGCAACAGTATATGAATGAGAAATAAAACAAAAATATATTATAATGTCAATAAAAAAAGACATCAATCTGAATTAAGACGGGGGAAAAAAAGTAATCAAACAAATTCTTATGAGCAAATAAACATGCGAGAATGTGGAAGAAATTTGAAATATTTTGGGGATTTGTGAAAGACTAAGGCGCATATTTTGTTGTTAATAAGTTATAAATTCAAATGTATCTCTAATGTAGGTTATAAAGTCTAATGAAAGTACTCTTAACATTTTCTCTAACAGTATGTTGAGAGTATTTAAATTGTATTTGCAACTATATTTAGTTTTCATCCTTTTGTATAGTTGTAAGCTCTTTTATATAAATGAATATTCTGTTTTTGAATCCCGAAGAATAAACGTCGAT